TTAAAGACAGATTGCCCCACATGTAACAGCTATGTACAAAAAAGTTATAAAATTGTCCTTGGTTTTACAATGATAAGTGAATAACATTAAAATTCTCCAATCAAACAAGGTATGCAAGGATTTTTATGTTGTTGGTTTTTGTTTTTATTTATTTTTTCTTTTTCTTTTTGTTGAAACAGTGAGAGCAAAATACCTTACTGGAATATGAAGGCCAGAGCTGAGTGAGCATGCCGCTGATGGGGCAAGGGGAAGGCCAGAGCTGAGTGAGCTGCCACTGATGGGGCAAGGGGTATTTTCACAGAACCAGTATTTTCCCCATCCCATCTGCATTTGATGTCAACCAAAACATACCATTGGCCATTTAGTTAAAGAAAATGCGATATGCTTGTGCACACACACCAGTTACTTTATGTACAACAAAGGAATGGGGGGGGGTGATTGAATAGAGAAAACTGTGCTGTGGTTGTCAGGGTGGGGGAAGCCAAATTGTCACTCTCTAATGGAGAATGCACATCGGTCTGTATGAGCAGAGTTCTGGAGTCAAGTAGCAGGTTCCCTTTTCAGTAGACCCTCCTGTCTGCAGCTGGGCACATCCATCATGTCCTCAGCCTCCATCTCCGTTGTGCGGCTGTGTCTGTTTCCTTGATCAGCTGCCCATTGAATCGGAATCTGGTCTGCCTCATTGACAAACCCTGTCGTTCACAGTCTGCTTCCCTTAGCTTACTAAGTGGTGTGTGCCTCATCTTAAGCTGCACCGCAGAACCCTCCTGTCCCACCTCCACATTAATGTGATCGCTGTTCGCAGTCTGGACGCCTTCCTTGGGCTTCTCGTGGGCCATGGCGAGCGCCAGAGTCTCCTCAGCTGTACGCAGGCCGCACCGGGAGCGGGGGGGAATGCAGTTGTGTGTTTTATAATTTTTTGTTATAGCACAGATTTTTGTGAATACAGGGTTTTTTAGAGAGGTTTTTGTTATAGGGTGCATGTGCTTGCCAGAGAGACAGCCAGAGACAGACAGAGAGACAGAGAGCAAGAAATCACCCCCCAGAGGGGTTGGCCACACTGCAATCCCTTCTCCTTCATCCCCCTCTCGGGATCATGGGCACGCACGCACATATGCTGGGTCTAGTACTCGAACTGTGGTCGACTACGTGGGAATCCCGTGACATAACCATTTTGCCATCTGCTGGTCCCCCAAAGGATTTTTTATTTTTTTTAAATATTATTCTATTTTAATTTAATTTAATTTAATTTGACCAGAGATGGACAGAGTGAGAGCAAGAGAGGGGAGAGAGAGAGAGAGAGAGAGAAAGCAAGTTGCCAGGTCCAGGATTTGAACTGTGTTCGACCATGTGGGAGTCCAGCGCCCTTAACCACCACCTGCTGGCACCCCCATAGGATTTTTTAAAGCTTTAAAAAAGTATTGCCAAGTTGTCGTTTTAGGAGGCTATGTCATTTACTTTTTGGAAGGGAAATCAGTAGTTCCATTTCAGAAGTGGTCACCTTAAAATGGCCTACACTTGTGGGTGGGCTCTCTCTGGTCTTAGTGGAAGCTTGGGTGGAGCAGGCTCTTACTCTTCTTTAGCTGTTTCCGTGCTCAGCTCGAGGGTTCTCTGCAGGACCTCAGGCCAAGTCTTAGCACCTTGGTCTCCCCAGCAGGCTGGGATCAGCACCTTCATTTTCACTGTTCTTCAGCACCATCTTTGCTTGACTCTTCTCTGAAGACGTGAAAATGGAACGTGCAGGGAGGGTCCAAGAGACTGCCCCAGTGTCCTGGTGTCTCTGACATCTCAGGAACCTGCAGACTCAAGTGTGCGTTGTGGTAGTTTCAAAGGAAGAGTTGTGAGAAAATACCACGTGAGCACGAAAGTTGCCTACAACAGAAGACAGGTCGTGACATCTTAACCCGGAGGAGTTTGACCTGTGGGAACAAAGCTCAGGGTCAGGGTGCTGAGGGGAGGGGAAGGTCATGGGAGAGCAGAGCAAGGCCCAGGGGTGAGGATGGCGAGCAGAGGTGGTGTGGATCCTCTCTGTGTCAGAGTGGCCTCCTGATCTCCAGGGCATGAAGGAGAAAAGCCCAGGCCAGGGCAGACTAGACAGCAACGTTCCGGGGACGGGTCTGTGGGTCTGAGGCAATCCCACCCATTGCCCTGGGCCTGAGATCCCTGTTGTTTCTTTCTTTTTTTTTTTTAATTTTTAAATTTTTACTTAATTAATTTACATCTATTCACTGAGCATTGTCACAACATACAAAATGTGATTTCCCATCCAGAATATACTGCATAGTGGCATAATCATACATGTTATCATCAATAATTTTATATTTCTAGTTTCACATATATATATGTATACATATTTTTCTCCCTATTTTTCACCCTCTGCCATTTCCCACCCTCCTCCCACACTATCTCAGGTGTCTACAGTTGTTTTCCATTCTTCCCTCCAACACATTTTTGTGTTTTTTTTTTTTTTTTTTTTTTCTATAGGGTGCGTGCGCTTGCCAGAAAGACACAGAGAGACAGAAAATGAGAAGTCACCCCCCCCGGGGGGGGGGATGGCCACACTGCAATCACTTCTTCTCCATTCTCCTCTCGGTATCTTAGCCATGCACACACATGCACCCGGTGTGAGTTTAAACCACAGGTCTGGGACTCGAACCGTGGTCAACTACATGGTAGTTCATTGACATAGACACTATACTAACTGCTGGTTTCTCCCCCCACATTTTATTGATTCACAAAATTTCTTAAATAATCTAACTATTTTCAATAGCAAGTTCAGCTGGTATATGAATATATGTCTGACTTCAGATGTGAAACTCTGAGTAGAATGAATATACCATAAGGTAGTATCTAGCTGATGCTATATAGTTTACTATGGTCATTAGATAGGTATTTTGTACTATATTTTAAATTTCAAGAAAAGCAGTTTTAGCTTTAATAAATCGAAGAAAGGAGCTTTGCTTAAAACTTAAAGCCAGGAAAGAAGTTAAGATTCTGTTCAAATAGTAGGTACATGAACCTATCGGTAGTTCAAGACAGGACAAAGATGCCTAACACTGGAAAACAAAGCCTAGGAAAAAATCCACAATGTTTTAGTCAAAAGTCATAAAATTCTATTTCACTAGTTCAGTCTCATGTACTTGATCTATCTTCTGTTGTGGTTCGATCTTCCCAATTAAATTCTGGGTTATGATTTTCAACTCCAGGCTTGTCCCTACGATTCGATTGGCCATTTTCTCAGTTTTTGAACTCTTACTTCTGTGTGTCTGTATTTAATTTTCCTGGTATAGCACTCCCTTGAGAACTTCTTGGAGATCTGGTCTGGTGTTGGTAAATTCTTTCAGGTTTTGTTTATCTGAGAATGTTCTTGTCTCTTCTTCCCATATGAAGGGTAATCTTGCCGGTACAGTATTCTTGGTTGAAATTGCTTTTCCCTAAATACTTTAAATATATTTTCCTATTCTTTCCTTGCTTGCATTGTTTCCAATGAGAGATCTACTATTAGCCTGATGGGATATCCTTTGTAGGTAACTTGCTATTTCTCTCTTGCCAATATCTTGTCTTTGTCTGTGGTTTTGGTCAGTCTCGCTATAATGTGTCTTGGAGAAGATCTTCTTGGGTTGATTCTATTTGAGGTCCTCTGTATTTCTTGGGACTGGATCTTTGAATGCTTCTCTAGGTTTGGAAAATTTTATTGCAGTATTTCATGGAATAGTTGTCTCTGCGTCTTCTGAGATGCCAATTATCCAGATGTTTGGATGTTAGAAGGTATCTAGTATTTCTCATATATTATTCTCATTTTGGTGGGCAATTTCCTCAGTCTTCGTGGATTTTTCTAGGCCAGCAATTCTATCTTCTACATCTGAGATTTGATTTTCTGTATGATCTAGCCTGCTTTCAATACTCAAGGGTGGTTTTGACTTCCTGTATTATAGCCTTCATCACTAACAGGTCCATTTAATTCTTTTTTATAGTGCGTATTTCCTCATTTAGATCTTGCAAGAATTTCCTCACCTCCTGGAACTCATCAGTTCTTTTCTCCTGCCTCTGCTGCAGTTCATTGTCTCTTCTCTTCCATCTCTGTGAGCTCTGTCACTATGAATAGTCTAAATTCTGTGTCTGACATTTCCATGATTTCCATTGTACTGTCTGAGGATGAAGAGGAGTTATTCTTTTCCCTTGGAGGAGAGGTATTCTCTTGCTTTCCCATATTTCTTGTGACCCTGTGGTGGTTTCTAGCCATCAATGGATGGTGCGTTTCTTCCTATTTCTTAAAGTTCCATCTGAGCGTTCAGAGGCGTGCAGGCGGAAGCGATCCACAACCTCTCTTCTGTTCTGTTTTCACTCTCTGTGCTTCAGGTTCAGTGGGAATAGAAGAATATTCTGACCCTTATCATATTCAGATGTTTGGATCCTGTTCACTTGGACCTGTCTAGACACTTAGTGCATAGAGGCTGAGCAGCCAATGAATAAAGATAAAGAAAAAAGGAAAAGAATTAGAGAAGAGAAAAGAAGAAAAAATAAAATAGAAAAAGAAGAAAAAAGATAAAAAAACACTTTAGATTTTAATTTTAAAAGGCAAAAGATGAAAACCACATGGCACAGTTTCAATTTAAAATTAAAAGACACAGGGAGACAGAGAAATGGAGAGGAGACAGAGGTAGCCCTACCCACCAGAAATGAATCTGGAGGGAGAAGTCTTAGCAGAAAATCTTCATTTTTTTAGTCAAGGAAAGCAATATTTAACTGCTCAAGTTTGGTATCTATCTCCTCCCTGCTGTTTCTTAGACGTCTAGACTGTAGCCCACCTGGAGGGGGGTCAGCCGCTGCAGCTTCTCCTGCCCTATCCCAGAGCTGCAGGGCCAGCTGGTTCTCATGCCACTCTCCTCCCCGGGCCCTGGACATCTGCCTCACTGGCTGCGACGCCGGAGCCGGGAGAGACCTGTTGGACTCAGGCTTTGGTGCTCTGCACACCTGACTGTGGCCCCGTGTCCTCGCAGGTGGTAACGTGGACCCAGAAAGCCAAGCAGAGGGCAGGAAGGAGGTGGAAGCCGACGAGGGCATGGGGAGCGGCCCCCGGCCCATCGTCCCATACAGCTCAATGTTCTGCTTACGCCCCACCAACCTGTAAGTCCACTCACCAGACTGCGACTTCCCCCACCAGCCCACTCCGAGGGTGTACCCCTTCCGTTCGTCACCTCCTAGCACACTAGACGCATGCATGGACCTGCACTGGCAGGATTGGCTCCACACACTTACATGCCTGAACCCAGTAACTGTCACACGCTCCCGGGAGGCACAGAAGTTCTGGGACACCCAGTAGACCCAAGAGGCTATGCTGGTTCTAGACTGGCATCAGCACAGGAGCCCAAGCTCCCCTCCCTGCGGTGCCTGTCCGTGTCTGCCAGGGGCTCCAGTCACACCATCATGCCTGCTCACGTCTGCTTCATGGCCACCACCATGTGTGCATGCACGTGGTGTCTGCCCACCCGCCAGTGTCTCCGTGCAGACAGCATTCTGGGTGCTGGGAACTTAGAGTGTACATGAGATGAACAGCCAGCCAGTCAAGTGCCCCTTGCCCTTCCTAAGTCTGTGTACCAGTGGGCGACAAACAACATGAATGACAGGGACACGCAAGGTGTCAGCGAGGACGAGCTGGGGCGAGCGTGCGGTGGCATGCCCCTACGCAGCCCTAGGAGTTCGGCGGGCTGGCACTGGTACCAACCCCGAAAGTTCCTTAGGGAATGAGAGCTGGTGCCGATCCCCGTCTGATGGCACCGGCCTCCCTGCCCTCGGCAGGCCTGCTCTGTGAAGGGCCTGGCCGTGGGCCCTGTCAGCTCTGGGGCCACAGGTCCCTGTCGTGCTGCCATAGCCAGCAGGAGGCTAAGAGGATGTGGTATGTCCACACAACTGCACTCACACCAGTGGTGTGGCCAGCCAGGCCCCCACTCCAACCTGGGTGCTCTCCCAAGAGCCTCAGTCATCCCAGGCACCTAGTCGTTGTCCCAAGACAGTCGGTCAGCAGGGTCCGCTCCTCCTCCAGTGAGAGGCCTGGCCCGCCTCCCCTGGGGGCCTGCTCACCTAGCTCTGGGCTTGTGGCCACCCTTGCTCTGCTGACAGGCTCCGTCGCTGCTGCCTCTACATCGTGACCATGCGCTACTTTGAGATGGTCATTCTCGTGGTCATCGCCCTGAGCAGCATTGCCCTGGCCGCCGAGGACCCCGTGTGGACAGACTCACCTAGAAACAATGTGAGTGGCTGCAGTGACCAGCCCACCACCGCCTATGGGGTACAGGCAGTGTGTCTCTGGTGGCCAGAAGGTCTGGGGTGTCCCTCCATCTGGAATGCAGATCCAGGCCTGGAGAAGCCACTGCAGTCAGCCTCGTCCTCTGGGAGGCCAGGCCTGTTGGGCAGTGGTTAGGGCCCCTTTTTGCAGAAGGGTTCTTACCCGCATCTCCCCTGCCCCCAAAACTGGTCAGTGGGCTCCCGGGGGGCCCTCTTGTTCCCCTCTCCACTCAGGAGGAGCCCTGGGCCGCCGAGATGGCCGGGCCAGGCCCCAGCTCAGCCTCACAGGACACTCTCCTTGTGGTTGCAGGTTCTGAAATACATGGATTACATATTCACGGGCGTCTTCACCTTCGAGATGGTGATCAAGGTGAGGCGCGGCTGCCTCTGGGCCCTGTCCCCTCACGCACGGGACATGACCTCGGCCCCGTCCCCTCCCCAGGAGGCATGGCAGGTGTCCCCCCTGTGCACTGCCATCATAGACGTGTGCTCATGTCCATGGCCACCATGCTCAGTCTTCCTCTGGGAGGGCGGCTGGATCTGTGACTTCCCTGCCGCTCTGCTTTTTAATGCCACGTCCCTAACGTGCGTTTCCCCCTGAAGATGGTTGACCTGGGACTGCTGCTGCACCCTGGGGCCTACTTCCGGGACCTGTGGAACGTTCTGGACTTCATCGTGGTCAGTGGGGCCCTCGTGGCATTTGCCTTCTCGTAAGTAAGCATGTCAGCTCTGGCTCCCGCTGCTGTAGTGCCAAACGGTGGCGTGTGGCTGGGGAGTGGGGAGGAAGGACAGACCCCAGGCTCCCCTGGGCTGCCTGCTGGGGTAGGCCATGTGGGTGTCTGTCCCTGACAGGCCTGTGGTTCTTGGATTGGGTGCAGGGTGAGGTTGGCATGGTGTCTGCCTGGCAGGGTCCTTGGGACGAGCCAGCCTGCTCTTAGACAAGTGCTTGCCCGGCAGCTGGTGGACGCCTTCCCACTCATTCCTCTGGTGGTGTTTCTGGGGCTGGGGCTAGCTCCCCAGGAGCTCGGCTGGATTTGGGGGTGACGACATCTTGGGAGGTGATGGGGTGAGAGCCAGAGGTGGGGATGACCCCTGGCGGAGGGCTGATCCCGGATGTGGGGGGAGGGAAAGAACTTCATCTGGCTGAGCCACAGGGAGAGCTGTGCCCAGGGGAACCTCGGGGACGACCCCTGGCGGGGAGCCAAACTCCGGGGGGAAGATCTTTGCCTGGCTGAGCCATGGGGAGGGCTGTGCCCAGGGGGGCCCTTGGGATGGGATGACCTCTGGTGAAGAGCAGAGGGGGGGCTGAGCCATGGGGAGAGCTGTGCCCAGGGGGGCCTCACCGCAGGAGCCCGCTGATTGTGTTCTCTGTCTCTCTGTGCTGGACCCGTAGGAGCGTCATGGGGTAATGCTCCCTGTCCCTTGCACTGCCCTTACTTCATGGCGTGGCAGCGGCTCTTGGCCACCTCATCGCCAGCCTCACCTCATTGCTAGCCTCACCTCATCCCCTCTACCCCGTCTGGGCTGCATGCTGCAGGGGCTCTGGCCGGGGCGGGGCTAGGACAGGCCCTGGGCAGAGAGTGCTCTGGGCGGGCTGCCAGGGTAGCCGGGCCACGCTGGCTCCTCTCAGAAGTCAGGACCATCTTGCCCCCACCCTGACCCTGTCGCTATGAGGAAGGGAATGGGACCCAGGAGCATCAGTCCTTGGCTGGAGGCCTCTGCGGGGCAGGAGGGTGGGCGGATCCATCATTCTTGCCTCTGTCTCCCCTCTGCTCCCTCCCGGTGCTGGTGGAGGACCCTGGTCTGAGCTAGTATGAATGTGGTGTCAGCAGAGCGTGGGGATGAATTTCCCGGGGGAGTTGACATAGCCTGCTGCAGGCAGGGAGGAGGTGGGGTGGGCTGACTGTGTGCCCCTTCCCTGGAGAAAGGGCCTGGGTTCTTAGCAGCCCCAGAGCTTCGCTGGAGCCCAGGGAAGGCCCCTGGGGCAGGGAACTGGGTGGGAAGTGGTCTCTGAGTAGGTTGGGAGGGCTGCTAGTGAAGGAATCTGAGCCTCTCAGCAGGA